CCTAACTCCTGCATGATGGATTTTACAATTTGTTAAAGAAACTCATCAATCCTCAGCAGTCATTTTTAATGCCCAGAGCCTCCACAAACTCCTGCATTTTGCTGATCCCCCAATTTCAAATCACTTGAAACTGCTGCTACGATTACAGCTCTGCTCCTAAAGCTAAGCATTATAGCCCACTCCAGACTCCCAGCTTCGTGTGCTAGTGTAATAAACAGATTAACTGTGATTTATGAACAATAAGTTCTGGTTATTTGAAAGGAAACATTACTTCCCTATACTGATTCTGACAAACTGGGAGCTCCCATTATGCAGACAGCTCTTCCCACCTACCTGTAATCATCAGTTTAGAACATCATCGCCAACCTGGGCGATGTATCACATAGTTTTCCACTGCAAACCTGGTGTATCCCAAGCACCTGGCAGGAAGCACTGCCAAAGGCAGGACGCCAGCCTGGAGTGACCCAGTGACACCAGTACTATTGTAACGCATTAATAACAAAATCAACAACAAAAGAAGAAGCTTTCAAAGAGGACAACTGCCACTGTATGGATGGCAGCAAGGAAGGAGGCAGCAAGGCTTTAGCAAGCAGAGGAGCAACTAGGAGCAGGAATCATAAGATGATACAAAGATCTATTTGTGGTGCTTGCTTGCAAAGTCTAATTAGGTTTAATATTCTCTTTCCAAAAGCTGAATTCCTCCTTTGAATCCACTCTAAAACGTCAGCTTCATCTTTACAAGCCCACAAGCAACAGTTTACAACTTCACGTGCACTCTCACAACACACCTACAGCTTTGAAGCTGACCACCCCGCTCACGTGAGACTTGGCTACTGCTGAGCATCTGGTTTTACATGCGTTCAGTTAACCACAATCTGCTGAGCATCTGGTTTTACATGTGTTCAGTTAACCGTAATCACTTCTCTCCTGCATGGAGAAGCCATGCAAGAAGCCTCCTCCCCGCACAGTGGCCCGCAGAATGGTGCTGTGCTGAAGTGCTGCTGCCAACACCTGGGGGACCCTCCTGCACTGTCAGACTTCACTGGCTTAAAGGCACTGGAGTATTAAAGCACCCCAAACAATAGGACCTGCCTCTGCTGGGCAGCTCTTGTACCAGTGGACCCTTCCCAGCAGCACTCCCACCATGGTGCCCATCTCTTCTCACCTAATGGATGCAACGCGCATCTTGGACTCACCCACCCAAGGCATGATTACTAAAGATCAAAGGCTTTATATACTTAAACCTCTTCAACAGAATAAAAGAAGCCTCAACTCCCTCACCTTGCCTCTAAAGCAGTAACAGCAGCTCATGAACAGGGGAAAGTCTTGAAGGCTTCTGAATAAGAAACGTGGAGAGACAATCAGTGATCTTTTATCTTCCAGACTTCAAGAGGAGCCCAATTCTTCAAAGAAAACCCAATAAAGCCCAGACATTCTCATCATACCAAAATAAATAATTCAGCCATGCTTTAGAGGCCTCCACCATTAGGGTTGGCTATTTGATACATCTGTGGCTTAGGTGTCTCTAAGCTGATTAGAGATAACCTGATAGAAGCTTACAATGTCAACACCAGCTTGACTCCCAACAGGTAGGAATGGACAGTGCAAATAGCTGTAAATAACCAAAAGGGGGGCTATAGGGATGCTGGGGAGGGACTCTTCATTAGGGACTGTAGTGACAGGACAAGGGGACAAGGGGTAATGGTTTCAAACTGAAACAGGGGAAGTTTAGATTGGATATAAGGAAGAAGTTCTTTCCTGTTAGGGTGGTGAGGCACTGGAATGGGTTGCCCAGGGAGGTTGTGAATGCTCCATCCCTGGCAGTGTTCAAGGCCAGGTTGGACAGAGCCTTGGGTGAGATGGTTTAGTGTGAGGTGTCCCTGCCCATGGCAGGGGGGTTGGAACTGGGTGATCTTAAGGTCCTTTCCAACTCTAACTATTCTATGATTCTATAAGGTCAAGAGAAAGAGAGGGGAGAAAGGTGACTGGCAGGGCAGGCTCCCCCCATTTGCCACAGCAGGTTAGTTGCATAACTCAAAGGTTAGTTTGGATGAGAACTCCAGAGCAATACCATATGGCACTTGCCAAAAGACCCACGAGCAAGTTCAGCTCATGTTCATCTTCACGGTATGCAACAGAGCTGCTGTCAGCTGAGAGCCCGAACCAGCAGGTAGGCACATGGGCAGATACCAGCATGGATAACTGCATGAAAGCAAAAACACCTGCCCTCAAAGAGATTCCGGTGTAAGATTTTAGTGCAGTCAAGGCAGCTACAATCCATTCCAACGTTGTCAAATGCAGTGAGTTTCCAAAGGATGAAATCACTACTTAAATAATCTTCCTCTTTCAAAGAATGCCTGTAAGAGAAGTGCAGGAGCTAACTGTACCAGTGAGACTGAGTGAAGGGAGGATTCTTTGGGCTGGGATTTTTCCTTCTTAACTGCAATAAAGAAAAAGCCCAAGGCTCTAAAATTAATAATCCAATCAACTTTGCTACGTGAACATTGTAACAGATAGGCCTGAATGAGGCTTTCTGTAAATGCCAGACAAGTTCCCTTGATCTTTATCAGCAGCGAGGCTGCTCTAGCTTCTGTGGGAAGAAATTCAACTTGGTGCCAAATAGCAACATCTGGGTGAGATTTCACTTGTCAGACCAGCAGTCCCTTCAGATGCCAAGCTAAAAATACTCACATTCATTCTGAAGGATTTCACATTTGTATTTCCTTTTAACAGGAGTGGTTAAGGGTACATTTCCATTCCACCATCCTTGCACTGCTCTCTAAAGCAGGGTATTACACATCCCCTGCGCAGGACCCCCAGCAGAAGCAGGGGGTAAGACACACGTCCTGCAGTCCCAACTCCTGAAACCACAGGGCATCTGTCCCCAGCTTCAAACAAAGGCACCATGCAGAAGCAGGGCCTGCAAGAGATGCCTGGGGACCACGGTGGGCTCCGATAGCACTCGAGGACTGCTCCAGCATCCCCCCAGTAACCGCATTCAGCCCCAGGCACCCCCTGCAACGGGCGTCCCACGCTCTCCACCTGTGCCACAGCAACAGCAAGTTTGCCAACCTGCAATGAGCTGTCATAGCACATACCTTGGCAGTGTGGGAGGAAGCAAAGAGCACGCTGGTGGGATTTGATTTGAGACACAACAGCCTTAGTGATGTCGTGAGATAGAAACCTCTCCCCTACCATCAGCAGGGCCAAGGAACAGGAAATCAGACTGCTGTCTGTTGAATCCACTTTTTACAGCTGAAACAGCCTCTGGCACTACAGCCATCAAGCCACTCTTGAACAAGCAGCAATCAACATATCCACCTATTAACAACGTGGGTTTCTATAGACTTTGAGACTAAATTTAAAGATAACAATGGCACACAGTTTTCAAAGTCTAATGAATTGCTCTTCCAAGTCCAAACCACTTCATACAAGGTAACTAAAGCGAGCTCCTTGGTGGTTCCAGCTAGGAATTCCTCTTCTTCAACAGATTGCAAAAGACCTTGAAAATTAGTCAGAAGCTTTTTTTATAAGCAGCAGTGGTCAGGAATTCTTCCATTAAATGCTTTTGATCCCTACTACCAAGGATGGTCATTCTGCACACCAAGGCTTTCCAGAGTAACATCAGCTCCCAAATCCCTGCCCAGGAAAAGCGCTCTCACTGCCAGGGTGGAAAAACAAAAGGAAAAACATAAGAGCAAGGGATTCAGCCCTCCCAAAGAGGCAGAAAGATCCAAGCTAGAGCACCCAACTCTGCTATACTGTGCACAACCTGCAGTAACATAGGGTGTCGTTCCTACACGCAATAGGAGTTCTCGCTGCGATGCTTGTGTTAAACGGTAGGGCAAGGAGGCAGCACTTTGTATTCCAGCCAGGTTATCAATCTCTGAAGTTAGTCCACATTTCCAAGGCCTGGAAAGCCAATCTCTCAGTAGTTTTACTCCATTCTGTTCGCTGCACTGACAAGTATAGGGAAAAATACACTGTTACCTCCTCAGCAATCCAGTTGATCTCACACTGAGAAAACACAACACATTAGACTGCATCAGGCAGCCGTGGACCAGTACAGAGCTTTGCCATGATCTCTCAGGCTTCGGGTCTTGCTATTAATGATGCACAGCCAAAAATGAATCAATTACTCTGCAGAAATATCAGCATGAAGGAAAAAAAGCCCCACTTGGCTGCTCATGCCTTCTTTAAATACAGGCAGAAGTGCCATCAATAGAGAACAATGGAGCCTCAACAGGAAAGCACTCAATAACCAAGCAATCATTTCATTACCATTAACCATGGATGGAGTAAGTTTTGCTTGTGTAAAGGCCCTAAAAACCACTGATTGCAGATTCAAGTGACATGGACTCGTGTGTATCAGCAGGAGAACAGTGTTTGTCAAAGCTTAGTTTTGCCAAAAGGACAATACATCGCATTAGAAGAAGAAAATACATCAAATTATCACTAGAAAAGGAAGAGCGCTGCCACCATAGCGTGGCACCAGGTCACCAAGCCCTCACATACCCCTGGGGGATGGCACTCGTGAGCATGTCAGCCTCTCTCATGGAACAACCAACTTTGTTTTGCCGTGGATAACAACGATCAACGCGCACTCTCTTCAGTCAGATGCTTACCAAGCGTTACACTGGGGTGACAACCAGATCACGTTACTGCAGCCTGGGACTGGCAGAACCAGCCCAGATGGTGCTCGCACAGATAGGGAAACGCTGGGGGAAGTGGGGTTTTCATTTATTGTTACATTTCCACTTGAAGAGGTGCAGTCTTTAAAGTTACAATTGCTGTTTCAGTGACAGGAATATTTAGGACAAGCCTGCCAGAGCAGCCACATCCCAGATCAGGTGTATTATTTAGCAGAAATTAGCATATATAATATATATACAGTCACATGAAAACCAGAAAACTTCCAGCCACATGCACTTCTGGTTGTGAGATGCTGAGAAAGAGCACCAAAAGCATCTCCTCCTCCCTGGACCACCCTCAGCACCCACCTTGGAAGACAGCAGCGTTCTGGATGACAAGGAACTTGAGCTCCATGCTGGCAGACTGCAGGAGCTGCTCCATGGTCAGGCGGGCTGTTGCCTGGTACTTCTCCTCCATCTTCCTGGAGCAGCATGTGGAGCCCTTGGGGATACATACTTGGAGATCAGAGCCTGGAGAGGAAGAAGGGCACAATATTTGCTTGAGGGGTTGGAATTAGCAGGAGACAACAAACTCTATACGTTAGCGTCACTGCAATCACTGCTTGGGCAAATCGATGACATTCCTGGGATTGTCCTGAGCAAGCAGCTTGGCCGAAGGAGCAGATTGATAAGGCAGAGCCAGGATCGCTGAGCAGCAGCCCCTGGGAGCTTGCTTTGTACTCCTGCCAGCACGCTGCTGGCTGCATCTCCCACACATTCTGTCCACTGACGTGCCAGTGCCGAGCAGAGGGATACAGAGCATCACCCTGCTGCTCCTGCATGCTGACCAGCACGCTGGTCAGGAGCTGCAGGCAGCCAGAGAGATGGGGTCAGAGATGAGGAAAGGAGCCAGGATTTGGAGCTGTGGATTTACAGCACCAGCTACCACAAAGGAGAAACATGACTGCTACTGCTGAACCCAGGACAACAATGAACAGAGCAGCAACAACAACACAACAGGACGACACAACAGTAATTGACCATTTCTTAGTTCAGCCTTCTGAACTGTACACGTCTCCCGAGTCCTCCCAATTCCACCATTCCTTCCTCACCTCACTGCAACAAACCCCCTCCACCCATTCACCAGAGTGGTAGAAGAGCCAGAGGACAAAGGTTAGAGGAACACTGATTGCTCTAGCATCTCGAGCTGTAACCCAAAACACTGGTCAGTGATGCTAAACTCTGGTTTTCAGACATTCCCAAAGCTTTCACTCCAGGAGGCAATAGACAAATTTTAGGAAAAGTGCTGTTAGCCAAAAATAGATCAAATCTAGAAAAAAAAAGAATACTCATTGTTTGGATTCAGACAACAGGAGAAGGTGGGACAAAAGAACTGGAAATAGCAGCAACAAAAAGTCTCATTCTGGATCAGCTTTCAGTAGCAAACCTTGGCCCCACAAACACAAGCAAAGCAATGAGTTCCTACCAAAGCAAAGAGCCTTCATCATGCAGAACACATCTAACCTGATGCTGCTGTTAGAAACCCAAGCAACAACTCCGTTAATAACGGCTATCCAGGGCCAGGCAGCAGTGAGGACCTCACAGTTCAGTGGCTGCCATCTAAAGAGCATCGTACCCAGAGCAGGAACAGCTCCTTCTTAAGCTCAGCACTGCCCAGAATGAGGATTAGGAAGCAGTCCCCAAGGAAACGACCGACAGTACAGACAGGGCAAGTGCTCCCCATAGCCCTCAGCCTTCACCCTGCCTTCCCCTTTTTCCCCTCTATAAAAGTCCCTTTGGTAATTTACATCCTTGCTATGGAGGGATCACTCACCCTTTCGGGATCTCCTCTCCTCCTCAAGAGTCTTTACTTTTAGCACATCCACTCTCTCACTAATTACTACAAAGGGTCAAGTCACTTCTGTAAGCAGAACAGGATTAATATTAACGTCAGTTCAACCGTGCACCTCCTGAGGAGGAGTCATGCACACCAATGAGGGAACACCAGCTGCCAGGAGCAGTGACAGCAGAAACCCTCCTGCCTTCAGCCCCATCCCTTCCCAGGCACAGCCTGGGGGAAACAAAACAAACCCCTTCATCTGCAACATGGATATCACACACGGAAATGAGCTTTAACCAACGCACGTCCTGTCATCGCTGCAAAACTACGCATGGCAAAGGGCGAGAAAGCCCACAACTCCCTCCCAACTGCCTCAGTTTCCCCTTCAGCAACACAGGGTGCGCAGCACAAATTTCTCCATCAGCAAGGCCAAGTTGGACGGGGCTTGGAGCCCTGTCCTAGTGCCTGCTCCAGTGGAAGGTGTCCCTGCCCATGGCAGGGGTTGGAACTGGATGAGCTTTAAGGTCCCTTCAACCCAAACCATTCTATGATTCCCTTCTCCTGTTTGGAGGAAGGAAGGGGAAGAGGGGAGCAGGCACCAAGAAGACAAGCCATATTAGCTCACGGCCCTTGAAATCGCACTGTAACTTGCCACAGTAGTTGTCCTTGCTTGTGACAGGGGAGTTGGAACTGGCTGAGCTTTAAGGTCCCTTCCAACCCAAACCAGCCTGGGATTCTCTGATCAGCCCCTCTGGAGAAAAGAAGTCAGCACCACTAACCTAAAGATCGACTCTCAGTGGCTCATGAACTCACCCACTCCAGAGGAGCGCAGTGACGGGTATTTCACGCATCAAAACCAAAACCACAGGGACCATGAAACCACCTAACAGCAAGACACGGCCCTAATGAGAGCAGCAGCTCTGTAACAGCAAGCTAAAGAGGTTTTTTCAAGTCAAGTCCGAGTCAATTTACACCGCAAAGAGGCTTAGCATGGTCCCTTTAACACTACAATACAGCCAGAAATTCCTTGCTAATACAAAACTTATTTCCTCCTACATTTATTATATTAGGATACATTTCAAATGAAGGGGGGGGGGGGGAAGCCTTCCATGATTAATGGAAATTCCAATGTAGAAAATCCAAGGGCTGGCAATTAAGAGATCTGTGCAAGGTCAAGCCAGGGATAGGAAGCAGCAAGGTCATCTCCTTGCATCCCATCCTTCTTTTTAGCTATTAAGCCAATTTCTCCCCTTAAGTGGATCTTTACTGTTGTGAAGTAAAAAGACAGACATGCTGCAGCAAAGCCATCACGGGGGAGGAGGAAAAGCCTGGGAATTAACTCCAACCTCTTAAAGCATTTTACAGACACAGCCAACTAACACCAGTGACCAAACCATCATGGGAAAGGCAACAGGTCAACACAGGCTCTTACAAGCTACCAGGGACAATGTCCTCCTTGGCACAGAGTGCTGCTACAGAGGGCCAGGGAACAGGGGCCTGACTCCCATCTGTCAGCTATTTGCTGTGTTCAGCAGACCCAGATGGTGAGCAGACCCTAACAGCTCCATCTGGAAGTCCCAATGGTAAGGAAAGGAGGTTTGGATGCTCAGGACCCCAGTTTATTCATACCATTGCTTGGAGGTCCCCTCTCCTGCACTCACACTGCAGCATCACCCAAGAGACCCAGATCCTGCATCCCAAACTGTGCGTGCTCCAAAGCGTGCAGGTGCAGAGACACGGCCACCGCAAGCCTACGGACCAGGCACCAGCATGAATCAAACTGCCACATGTTCTGGCTCCATAAATGCAACGCAAAATGTCCCGTGAGTCATCAGATCCTACCCCTGCCTCCCAATCCACCTCCTCCAAGCATTTAATCTAACACAAACACCTCCAGTGATAGCTCCAACTTGCGAGATAGCGAAGCCCATTCAGCTGCCTAATGGCCCTTACTGTTTTATCTCCCAGCCTACTCACTCTCCTTTTACTTAAAGATTCAAGCCATCCCACCTTGGAATGCCAGTCTCATCCCTCGCAAACAACCTTCTCCTTTGCTATAAATCATCACACGTTCATTTTTGGAAAGAAGCATCCCACGAATTCCCCCAACAGTTTGATGAAATGGCATTTGGAAGCTCACATCCCAGACTCTGCAAGGCGATGCCAGGGGGATGCTAAGCTCAACACCCAGCTCCAACGGGGGAGAAGGAGCTGGATGCGGCCCCTTGCATCGGCTCATGGGTGCCAGGCACTGCTGTGGCATTTATGGCGTCTTGGGGAGCCACAGTGTAAATGCTGCAGCAGTTCTCACCCGTTCCTACCTGACAGAACCAATCTCTACAGCTCTGGTGATTCCAGCACCGCTCTGCCTCTTCCTCCTCCTTCTCACAAAGGGAATTTCTCCTGAAGTCCGGGTAGCAGCGAATTTAAAGAATTAAATTTGACTTTGGAGCACAGTTATTCCCAGATTGGTGGCTAGCCCAGCAGAAGTGAAAGTAATGTCATAGAATCACAGAATCAACCGGGTTGGAAAAGACCTTTAAGATCGTGGAGTCCAACCATTACCCCAGCACTGCCAAGCCCACCACTAAACCACAGCACTAAAGGCAAACTGATCTCCCCTCATGGCCGTGCCTCATGATCTCCACTCACAGACAACCCTCATTTCCCCTGATGGGCACCCCTTGCACCCCATAGCTGCCCCTCACTGCCATCCCTTATCTCCCCTCATTGCCATCCCTCATCTCCCCTCACTGCCATCCCTTGCCTCCTCCTCCTCAGTGGGTTAAATGTCAAACTTCAGTGGATTAAATGTCAACCCCCCTCCTTGAGATGCTGTGCAGGCGGTTGTGAGCTCCTTCGTGAGCCTGAAAGCTTGTATTTGGATTTCAGCATCCCAAGATAGCTCCAACCCTGTCATCAGACCCTGACGGAGGAGCCATGCTTCCCACTGGAGCACACGAGCCTGCCCACCCAGATCCAATGGCAGCTGAAATCGGATTCACATTCCCCCAGACTCACCCCAGGCATTGCCTAAATGAGAACCCGTCCCTGCCTCGTGTTCCACCGCCGCAGCCTCCTCCACAAGGAGCAGCAGAACCCTTCGCTTCCTGCAGTCGGGAAAACGTCAGAGGGCTTCATCCTGCCCTCCCAGCACACCGCTTTGTTAATGGCACCCATCAGAAAGCTGCTGCTTTCCTCTCTCTAACTGTTTCACACTCAGCATCATGCTTTAAACAGATACAAGCAGTAATTCAGCCTTTAAATCTAGTGGGTTTCCCCCCAGCCATTTCAATCATTCCTCTCTTTTTAAATCAAACCCCTGCTTTTAAATTATGTGACTAGGAGGTCATGCATCTGCCACTGGCTTTTAATGCGCAGCGTTTGTGGAGAGGGAAAAAAATGCAACTGTTGAGAAGCCAGGTTAAGTGCTGATCTTTTTAAAACCTAATTAAAGAGATATGAATTATAAACCAACCTCATTCAATAGGTGATGCAAGTTGGAACAGTATCGGTACCACATGGGATATTTATTAGTGCTTAATTAGCCTTTCTTTTCTATTCCATCTTGCGTTTCCGAGGGCCATCTGACTCTGGATGCTTCCCTAAGCCCTGCAGTGCTGCCAGGCAAATATAACGCCATAACACCACGTCTTTTAAAAGAAGAAGCTGGGGAGAAACTAGGTTTGATAGAGTAGATGTTTCCTTCTAACAAATCTATCAACGACACCATCATCTAAAGTATGGAGCTTATCTTGCGGGCACCCACTCACCACGTACGGTTGCTGCGCTCGCACGCACGCACCTTACAGCCATTCCAAAGGCTGGGAAGAACAGTGCTCGGGATGTTGTTAACATCCACCCTTGGGAGCAAAGATAAAACAAATGATCTCGCTATAAAGCCACTGCCTGGGGAGGTTACTGAGTTTTAGGGTTCTGCTCCTGCTCTCTGAACTAGCAAGAGAGCAACTTGCCAGCCTGGAATAATGAAGAACAGAAAACTCAATTAGCTAGTAAGCGAAGATCTGAAACCAGCACGCTCAGCTGAACGGAAAGGATGCATGGGGAGGAGAATCATTAGTCCCACTCAGGAAAAGCAGCATAAAAGAGTAGGAGTACAAAGGGAACCAGCTCCCGAGCAAAGGTGCATTGAATCCAGCGGGAAGAGCTGGGGTGTTTAGGTTGTGTGTTGGCACACAGCAGCTGCCAAGAGAAGAAAAGAGAGAAGAAAGCTTGACATGCTCAGGCAGCCGGCTGTAAAGCTTTACACCTCAACTCCAACAGCAAAAGGTTCGTGTCCTCTATTTTCTTTGGGTGAATCCATATTTGCTTCCATCAAAGAGAATGAACAAAAAGCTAGAAACTGCACTCTGCTGTGGGAGGAGGAGAAGAGACGCGCTGCAGGTACCACTGCCGAGATGAATACTCCTCAGCATCCACACAGCCCAGAGCAGACACATCTATCCCCTCTCCCCGAGTCATCGAGGCAACAGCTTGCCCCTTTCTCCTCTATCCACAAGGACCAGCCCCGTTATCTGGAGTGTCACCACAAAGAAATCCAAACGTCGAGGAGGAGAGGAGAGCAGACAGGGGAAAAAACAGCAATTCCAGCTACAGTTTATACATGAGAAATTATGCAGGGAAAAAGACAAAAGGAAGAAGAAAACCAAGAAGAGACTTTAGTTATTAATGAATGCAAAGTTCCTCCAGCACAGAACCGCAGGTGGCTCATGAGCTGGCATAAAGTCTCAACTCCGAAAGCCTACTAAAAGCACTCTCCCATCACCCTGCCTTCGCTCCTCTCCAGCACAGGGCCTCTCATCTAGCTTGAGTCGAGCTGTTGCCATGAATTACATCCTCCCACTGCTCCCAACAGTCAGCCACAGCTGACAGTAGTTCAGTCGTGCTGCTCCCCACCTCCCAGCATGCCAAAGCATGCTCCAGAGCTACAAAAACCCAGTCCCCAGGCTTTAGGACCAGAGGAGACCGAGTTCCTGCTCGCTGCCTGATGCACGCCTTCAGCTAGAATTATTCCCGGAACATTCGTACTGCTCATGAAACAGCATGACACTTCCCTCCCATTTATCAGAACTGCCTTTCTCCTCATTCAAAGCATCAGCCTGGTGTGGCTGGATCCTCTCCAGGGAGCACTGCACTCATGTCCCCCAAGCCCATGCACCACTGCTCCGGTAAAATGGAGCCGTGGGACACTTCTCCCGCGTGTGTTGCAGCTCAGCAGTGTTTCCTCTGCTTTAATGCCTTGAGCCACAACTGCTCCTACTGCAAAACGTGGCGTCCTGAAGTCACTTTTCTGCTTGTGTCAAAACCCCCCTGACAGGTTTGAAGTAGGTTGTTTCAAGCCTTAGTTTCTCTAGGGTGATGTGATCTATAAGCAGAGGTTCTCAGAATTGATCCTGTGCTGATTTGTGGCTGGGAGCTCCAAAACTTTTCTAATTGACAGATGTATGAAAGGAAGAAAGCCATAAACAGAAGCCTGGGAAATAGTCCTTGAGTGATGTTTCCCTATTACAGAGATTTATGCAGCTGCTACTAGGAAAAGCGAGCGCTCTGAAGTGTAATTACTACAGAGTCATGCAAGATGGGCCAGATCCAAGGTATAAGCAAGCACTCATTGCTTTAATTATGATCAAGTTTATGTACTTAGGCAAACGTAAAATCCACTTTCGATTTGATATGCGGGAACTTTATCATCATAACAAGCTGGAAGTGTTCACTTGAAACACCAGCCCTGTTACAAGATATTGATCCAGCTACCCACAGGCTCTGCAGAGAGGTAAAGGGCTCCTTCCTCCTCCTGAACAGCATTGGATGCAGCTGGGGCTCCCAGAGGGGCACCAGCAACTCCAGCAACCTGAACCCAGCCAGGAAAGGAAATCTCCAAGCGAAACCACGCACTGAAATCACAGCCTGGGCCAGGATGCAGGACGCCACTGGCTCCTGGGAAGGACCCACCACGGTGCAGCCCCCAGGCTGCAGCAGCCCTCACCACGCTCAGCACAGCTGCTGCTCACCCCTCCATCACATCTCCCTGTAAATATACACTCCAAGAAAGTTACCTAGGGATCAAAACAGGCATTCACTGCCTCCCACAGGAGGAAGGGAAGGCATTTCTTTGATTACAAAGAACAAAATCTGTTGGTTTAGTGGTGATAAGAGCAGCTCCTTCCCCTCCCTGCAACTCTCCATCCAAGCATTTAATCACAAAGTATTTCCAGTGCTCCATACTGACAAGGAGACTGAGGCTCTGCAGAACGGAGGAAGAAGAGATGCTGCTCCTGCAGCTAGTCCAAAGGGCACATTAAGAGTCTAATATTATATGGGAAGGGGATGCAAGGATAGGAAGGGGTAGGGGAGGTACTCTCACACCAGGACTTACATCCCCTCTCTCCTAGATCTCACAGCTGTTGATGACCTGAGGCATTGCTACAGTCCTAGAGCCCAAAGGATTTTGGGATGCACACCAGCAGACACTCCACCTTCCAGTCCCACCTTCTCCCCTTCCTCTCCTCCGCTGCAGCAGATTAGTGTTGAAGCAACTCTTGTGTCTCTGGCCCTGACTCCCAACACAAGAACCATAACTCAACACATGGTTATTAGAAGCAGCTACCGCTGGCGATGATCTCATTGCACCTCCCCTGTGTGTCACGTTTGCCTGCTATCTCTTCCCTTTCCTACTTTGATCAGAAGCTTTCCAGGGCGGGCTTCTCTGCTGCATATTTAACCCAGCACAACCGCCTCGGAGCTCCCCAGGCAGCTCCATAACGCAGCCACCAGAACCTCATCCTTCTGCGTACACACAGGCACCCACCCAGAGGAGCCCACACTCCCTCCCTCATTACCAAAAAGCTGCAAAAGCAGCTTTAAAAGGCAGGAATTCAAGTATTTCACTTACATTTTATAATAGGAAAGAGGCATGTATACGGAAAGCAGCCTAGCAGGGTGTAGCTGATGAGGTTTGGTGCGGTACCACCTGTGATGCTAATTGCACAGCAGAGTAACACCTCACCCTGCTCGGTGCTCGCTGCCCGTTTCCAGCCTGTTTCCCCGAGCCGTGGCATCCCCTGAGCCCGGGCTGGGAGCGAGAGTCCTGGGCTGCACAGCGAGGAGATCCCAGACCCCGATTTAAGGCAGCGCGGAGCCCGGCACCCCGAGCCCCAGCCGCCGGGAGAGCCGGCTCCGCACCGTCCCGCTAAGGCACAGAGACCCCCTTCACCCTTCCGCACCCTTCCGCACCCCTCCGCCGGGGCGCTGCGGCGGCGAGCCCCGGAGGGGAGGGCTGCAGACCAGACGCCACGGTGCCGGGCGGTCTCACCTGGCACTGGGCTCTCAGGCACCCACTTGGCTCCGGGCTGCAGCACCTGGAAGGAGGCGCGGACGGGGCGGCAGGCGTCTTCCCCCTTGGGCTGCGCGCTGGCCGGGGCACCGAGCAGCGCTGCCAGCAGCAGCAGGAGCGCTCCGCCGCTCCCGAACATGGTCCCGGGCTACTCCGCACCCGCAGGCATCGCGGCCGGCAGCGGAGCCGACTCCAACCCCGCGCTGCGCCCGGAGCGCCCCCAAGGCCCCGCCCCGCCCCGCCTCGCCGCGCTCCCATTGGTCCCCGCTCAGCCGGTTCCGCAAGCTGATTGGTGCTCGCCCCGCCACCCGCACACTTGCCCCGCGCGCGGCAGTTTCCAGCCCGCGCTGCCCGGAGCCATCAATGAACCACAGGGGCATGGGGACAATGGGACACGGGGACAGTGGGATACTGGGACAGTGGGATACTGGGACATAAGGACACTGGGACAGTGGAATACTGGGGCAATGGGATAGTGGGACATGGGGACACTGGGACAATAAGACACTGGGGCAATGGGGCACTGGGACAATGAGACAGTGGGACACTGGGATGCTGGGACAATGGCACACTAGGACAATGGGACACTGGGGTAATGGGATACTGGGACAATGGCACACTGGGACAATGGGAAAATGGGACCCTGGGACAATGGGAAAATGGGACAACGGGACACTGGGACAATGGGACACTGGGAAAATGGGACAATGGGGCACTGGCACCCCCAGCCGGGCTAGTACAACGCAGCTCCGAGTCACCATCAGGAATAGGTGGCCATGCGCAAAGAGTTGTGCTCAACAGTTGTGCTTGAATTCCAGCCGCGCACACTGAGCTGGAAGGGCCCACGCTGCTCATTCCTCAGCTGTACAAAGCAAACCCAGCAGGGTGAGGAAAGGCTTTCTTTTAAACAAAGCAGGGGCCACGTATGAAAAATCGCCGACCCTGTGTTCAGCCCGGGGTGCTCCCCTGCAGCCTGCACGGGGAACCAACGAGGGAGCAAGTATAAGCACAAGAAAAATCTATGTCAGATTTGCAGTGCAAACACAGGATCAAATCATCGCTAATGGCTTGCTACCAGCTCTTTTTCACCCTGGAATCCTGAAGAGGGATGACAAATGAGCGCCCAACCTGGGTGTTTGTTCTAAGAAAATGCCTGCCAGGAAGACATTGTTAAAATACGTTATGGATATGAGACTAATAAGCCGGAATGTGCAACGTGTCTCACTGGTGAATGGATTGCGGGAGCCTGTTGCTGTCTGCAGACCGCGCTATTTATTCCCTGTTTATCGTGCCTGGTAAGCGCTGCTGACAAGATTCCCATTAACCGGCCAGCAGAAAGACCTGGGATTCACAACAACCTGGAAATCTCATTTTGCTCTGGGGCGCAGGTGCTCCTCAGTGCAAATTGTGCCTGGTTTCAAGAGGGAGAAGGGCGGGCAGATGCTCAGTGATGAGGATCCATCCTTCACACGTTTCCGTTTCTCCCGGTTCCTCACGTGCAATACCATCACACATCCTTCAGCTCATGTGGCTGCATCGCACTGCGTGGTTAACGCATCTTCTCTGCATCTCCCTCATTGATTCACTGATGGATTTGTTATGTTTATGCAACAGTTTGGGGTTCAGGTACCGCACTGCTTTAAGTTAGGAATCAATGCGACCAAATTGCCAAATACAAAGGCTGGTGTTTGAAGCGCGGCTTTACACGCACTATTGCAATCTGCACTGTATTTATGAGCTGAATTACAGGCATCTAAAAGGTATTCACGCACCTCCTGGGTTCATCTTCAAACCTCTGTGTGTATTGCATTTAAGTACAGGAGGCTTTTACCGCTGCAGGTAAGTACACAGATGCTGTCAGGCATGCCATTAGAACAAAGAATTACACCCGGCGCCAAAGAGGCGCGTTCAGGGATCTGCACTAAGACGAGCGAGCGCTTGCAGACTTCAAACCAAATTAGCAAACAACATTAGTGCTCATCGCTGGATCTGGCTCCACAGTGGGATCCGTCATTATCCTGACAACGACTCCCTGTAAAAGGAAGTTTATTCATCCACCAGGAGCTATGGCAGAAGTGAGGTAGCGCTTGTGGAAGCGTACAACAAAACCAAGTGGAAGCTCTTTCTTTCAGGCACCGGTTTAGCTTAGGCCCAAAGTCCACTGGCAGGCAAAAAAAAGAACTCCCATTTTAACTGAGGACTCGTCCTAAGGGAGCAAGTGTTTTGTACTTGTTTCCCCCAGTTTTCACTCCAGCATTACTGACTTTCCTTGGGGTAATAAGCTCAAGGATGCAGCTGGGTGGAGATGGGGGGTGAATGGCATCCCATCCATGGACCAACAATATTGTTGTGTCCTGCAGCACCCAAAGGATGCTCTCCACCCTGGTGCCTGCAGAAGCATTCCCAAGGTGAAAACTGCAGACTCTTTGACCTCCATAAAGACTGCAACAACCCAAAGAAGATCTGAAGCTATTTCCCTGAGTACTGCTCATCCACATCACTTGTCCTTTTAATGGCTGAGGGTAGCAAGTGCAGGGTTGTCCCAGAGGAGAAAGCAGACGACTTGCTCCAAGATCAAAGGCAAAGTCACTGAGCTAGTTGTGTGCCAGCAGATGTAGTAAAAGCCAAGTTGTCTCATATCCAGGATGATCATTTCCCTTGTTACAACTGCTCACACCGTAAAAACTTCACTTCATCATCTACCTGCCGCAAGCCTGTGGGTAATGAGAGGCAGGATCATGTGCAGCTGATGGGATCAAACGCTCTTACAAAGCTCTCCACTGGGAAAACCCTGAATCAATTGAAACACCAAGGAGAGGCATAGGAGAGGGACTCGGACTCCGCAGTAGATGTGCTCACCAGGTTAGCAACTCAGTCCAATTTGTCACTGTAAACAGGGTGGATGAGCTCCATGGGGACAAGGCCAGCAGAGCCATGCCTGTAGCAGAGGGAATCGCCGTGGGGCTGGGGAGAAACGAAGGTACCTGGAGCACCTGTTGACACATGTGCATGTTTACAGCACGTACCTGACCGCCTGCATGGGCATGGTCACCGTGGCTTCCTCACCCCTGTTGCAATCCCTTATGCTGACTGTGGCCCAGCTACATCACTGTAGATCTCCTATGTCCTGCCGAAACCAAGAGCTGCAGGCAGTGATGGCTTCTCCCTGTCAAAATGACCCTTTCCATCTTATTCTGCACCTTGCAGAAGCTGCATTTTCAGGCGTTCATATAGATTTTGTGGAGGAGGAGAAGGGAGAAGCTCTTCACTATCTAAAAGTACTCACACATTGTCTGAAAAAGAAAAGCACATTTGCTATGGGGCGCTGGGAGGAATGATGGATTGCGAGGTAGCAGACATCCCTCCCCTCTTTGGCAGGATATTGTATTCCATGTGCCATATTGGAATGCTGATAGATCCATAAAGCATTAGCCTTTTCCTCACCCCAAAAAAGCAGTGGCAGTGGCTGATAAATCACTGGCTCTCCGGAGTTTGTTGGGAACAGATCACACAGCAGAAGCAGTGAAGCCTTCAGAGAGATGCATCACTTAAAGACGCTGCAGATGCCAATAGAGCTGTACATCAAGAATGCACAGACAAACCACTCTGCCTGTCCAAATGTGAGATACTCCAGAACTGGAACTGTTTCTGTCACACTCATATCAGAAATGCCTCCTAGAGCCTTGGAAAATCTCTGCCCTACAGTCCTAGGGATCTCCTCTTTCTTTCCCAAAGTGTTTGAAGAGCCTTGTCTCCCACATATAGATCACAAAACTTGCTAAAGTTACAGAATATTTGAGGGGTAAAAATCCAGCCAGATCCAAACCTTTCCAAACCAGCTCTTAATTGTGGATAGGGCACAGGTTTTGCAGGGGCAGCTTGATATACAGCTAACCGTTGTCAGAGAGTCACAGGCTGGTTTGTGTTGGATGGGACCTTAAAGCTCATCCAGTTCCAAACCCCTGCCCCGGGCAGGGACACCTTCCACTAGAGCAGCTTGCTCCAAGCCCCATCCAACCTGCCTGGTTATCTGAAGAGTTTTGCATCCTTTGTAAAACTAAAGATACAGACACAGCCATTGTGGCTTAAAAGCTTTTCTACTCCCCCCCATCACTGGAAGACCCCAAAGCACAGCAGAGGATGAAACAGGCAGTGTGCTGGAGTTTGGGCCATGCTGCTCACAAGGCACAGCCCGCAGGGAGGAAGGATGCTTGAAGCACTCCTCCCCACTGCCCAAACTGCAACACCCATCTCTCCTCCAGCCCACAGCGAGTGGGGCTGAACATCAGCAGAGCCCCGGAATGCTTTACAGAGGGAATCAAAGCAGAAAAGATGGGAGAGAACTATTCACCGTGCACTGCTGCCTCTGCTGGGAGCACAGGGCAGGCGTTTCTCAAGCTGATATTTTCATTTATCATCTCCTGGTGATTAATCAACTGAAGAGACGCTGCCAGGAGACAGCCCAGAAGGGATCAACCCAGAGCATTCATCTATGGAAATGAAGTGCTGCCGACAATTACCAACGCAGGGCTGTCACACCATGGGCACCCCGCTCACAGGGGAGCTGGGATGTAGAATTACAGGGCTCTGCTGTGAACTGGCTCTGCATGGAGCCAGCAGCCTGACGGATCGGCGCATCCAACCCTGGGCTGAACCCTGCAGAGATGCTGCACTTCTGACTCCATCACAGGCTCAGCAGCACAGAGCGAGCTCCGCAAGCAGCTGGAGCAGCAGGCGACGTGGTCAAAGTGCAAGCCTGGGTCAGTGCGGGTAACCCAGGTATGAGTTGAGTGGCTGCACGCACTAAGGGAGCCCCGTTATGGGATGTGGAGAGCCTCGAGATGGGATTTACAGCAGAACCCACAAATATTCTGCTGAACAGATCAACTGCTCCCACTCCAAAGGAGGCCGTGATGTATTCAGGTGCCTTTCCAGGAGTGCTCTTGTCCTGTGCAGTGGCACCACAGTAAAACTTGATTTATGCCTTCTTACATTATATTATTGCTTAATATTATATGCAAAAACGCTGCGAAGAGGTATAATGGAGGAGTATTTCTGCTCGGCTCATGCAGAAGCTGTCTCCAGTTGCATGGTAATGAGGTGCTTCCAAAGGGATGAGGAGCGTTAGACTGCTCCTCAAATGCTGCTTTGCGGGTG